CCTAAAAGCTTCAAATGTTATTTACTTTGGAACATAAAAATAGAGACAGTGTAATTTTCATATTGTAAGTGCAACTTTATACTGTATGTAAACATTACCAGTTTATGTCAATTATTTAAAAATACTCTGAATTCCAGCTACAATGTTTAGTCCATCAGTTTGTTAGATAATTGGGACCTGCAACAAAATGTCTATTCTCTTCACCGCTAACATGAATGTTTCTGTTCAGGGTTCTAGCTAGTCACCCATGCCCTCCTCAATTATAGTATATGCCAGGGTTTCCCAGACTTGGTTCTCCAACTGTTTTTGGACTTCAACTCACATCATCCCTAGCTAGCAGGACCAGTGGTCAGGGATGATGGGAACTGTAGTCCAACAACAACTGGGGAAAGTTTGGGAAACCTTGCTATAAGCTATAGCTATAGGCATGGGGAACCTTTGACCCACCAGATGTTGCTGAACTATGACTACCATCGGCTCTGGTCATTGTCCATGCTTACTGGGGTGACAAGAGTTGAGGTTCAGCAACATCTGGAGGGCCAGAGGTTCCCCACACCTGTTTTAATGCAATGAAGCAGAGCCAATTTTCTTTTCCAACTGTTCCTTAACATTATGCAGATGCTGAGTACGTTCAATCCTCTTTGCATTTTTTTAAAAATCTACTTCTACAAACTTTAGGGCTCCCTAGAGGATGTGAATATTCCCTCTTGTTTTGGCTCCAGTTCTACTGGCAATCACAATGTTCATTATTAGTTCAATATTAGAGGGAGTGCAGCTGTAGTGTGGATTTAAAAAGTGCTCCAAGGTAATTTAAAAATGCACTGCCAATTTTAAAAGTATCCCAATCAATGCAGATGGCAAGCACTATCTTACTTATTTATTTTGTGTGTGTTTATAATCCACACTTTCATAAAAATATATCAAGGCAGTATACAGCATAAAAGAATAAAATCAGCAAAAAGCATCCATAAAAATAACATTTTAAAAAATCAATAAATCATCAATAAATAGAGAAAAACCCTATTGCAAATGCCTGCCTAAACAATATAGTTTTCAAAAGGCATCTGAAAGAAGCGAGAGATCTTAGAAGAAACATTCTCTACTGTAGAGCTTTTTAAACTGTGTGTCGCGACGCGTTAGTGTGTCGGCTGCAGTGTGTAGGTATGTCACAGGAACACTCCCTACACTCCTGGAAAGGGGTTAGTTTAATCTCCAGTTTGCTAGTAAAACAGAATTCTGTCTCACAAAATGATGCATGTCTAAAAAGTGTGTCACCAATGTGAGAAGTTTGGAAAGTTCTGCTCTACTGGGTGAGAGAGAATGGAAAATACTTCTTAGATGATACCTGCTTTGACAAAAATGCACTTCATATAAAACAAAGACAATATAAAGAAAAAATATTTTCTTTATTTTGGATGATGTTCACATGTGTTGCAGTGGTCTTCCTCATATGCACATGTTAGCAAATTTAGTTAACTAAACTTCATAGGTGGTATCCAACAAAGTAGTTCCATTAGCACAAAGGACTTTGCCTGCACACCAGAACTTCCCCCCCTCTCCTCTCCTCATGCCTCATCTGTCTTGGGGCTTCTCCCAATCCTCTGGAGATTTGTGGAGGGTGTGGAGTGCACAAGGAGAGGGAAGAGAGAGAAATCTACACGGTGCAAACATAAATCCTTGTGCCAACGGAACTTCTATTAGCCCCCTATGATAAACTAAGGTTTGTAACTAGGTAATTGCTTTAGTTTTAGAAGACTTTCCAGAGTTCAATATTTGTAAGATACATAAACTGAATTCACACGTAACATGAAAACATGAGGGGGTTTTTAATGTCTGAACTTGGGTTGAAAACCACAGGCTCATGTTAAGTGTGGTCTTCTGAATTCAGAGGCTGCAGCAAACTAGTTAAGGACATTGCTGTGCCTCCAGAGGCTGCTGTGCTACAGGAAATGGAACTTGCTCCATGTCAAGATCTTGCAAAGGTGTGGACATGAAGGCGTTGCCACTGGATAAGTACTTAATGCCTAACTAAATTAAAAAGTGTTTAACCTTGGTTTAGGAGGGGTCCAGAAGTAAGCTTCATGAGCTAAAAAGAGGAGATGGGCATAAGTATCTAGCAAGCCTCTCAGTCAGTGGAAATGTATTAGTAGTGGTTGGCAGGAGAAAGATTGGACGGTGGCTTTGGTGGTTTTGGGTGGGCTTAGAATCTTAAGAGAGTTATGCCCCACTTTTACCAGCAAAGGAACCTCCACTGATAGGTACTAACATTGTTCACCACATTGGTGGGCTTTGGACTAAATAAACCAAACCATACCAGATATGTATGTGAATATGGTTCAATCTAGAATTATTTTAGCACTGAAACTCAAGAGTTTACACCGATTCCCAGAAGTGCATATGTCACAAGCAAGATGTGCAATAAATTCACATTTAGTTGAAGTCAATTAGTCTAATGTGCATAGGCAACAGTATAGACAGCTCTATCATGTCAAATCAAGGTAATACTAAGAAGTCTCAGCAGCATAGCCCCAGTGGAGAACTGAGTAGAAATGTCAGCAGCTGACATTATAATGGAAGGAAACATAGGTCAGTAGATGCTTAATATATCCTGACCAATATCAGTTGTTTGAAATGAGCATGGGGTGGGGGAAGAAAACAGACTGATTATAGGTCACCACCTCTTCTCATCTATGTAATCATTAAAGTTATTTTAAAATGTCAGTATCAAATTATGATTAAATAGGGCAGACATTTGTTGTTCTAGGTTTCCTTAGCTTGTTTGTAAATGAAAAATGCCTAAGTGTTCTACAAGGACACTTCTAGTGTTGATTTGAGTTTAGTATATTCCACAAGCAGAGAATTGTTTTGAATAGATTATTGTTGGCATGACAACAGAAACGAGAAGGAAAAGTGTGTGTCTTTATTCATAAGGATGGAATATTTTTCATGACATATGTTGCCTGACCTGTTTTGTATTTCCTCTAATTAAACATTAACCTAAAACACCTGTAGATTAAATGCATACTGTGAAGGTTTTGATTTTTGATTTGTTTTTTAAGCAATTGTTGCATCTCTCATTACGACCCCACTTTTTAGCTGTAGTAGACTTGTGCAGATGGCCAGTCCAAATAAAAAAGAATGCTTGTCATTCTGGTCTGTTTTCATGAAGGCTTTGGTGGCCAGTTATGCATCACCAAAAAAAGAGGACACGTTTGAATTCTTTAAGAATTCTTGGGTAGATGCCCTAATGATTTGCGCATTATTGGGGTTTTTTAAAAGGCTAGAACTTATCATCACTATCTTATGAGGGGCACTGTTTATATAGTAATATGCATTGCTTCACTTACTTCAAAATGTGGTAAGCCAGCCTGCTGCATTTGGGGGGCATCTGGCTTATTTGTCTGCCCCAAAGTCTTGCGTTGATGCCACCACTAGCTTTAATCATACACACATTCACCTGGCAGTAACCCCCACTAAACTCAATGGGACTTAATTGCTGAATAGAGAAATGCACAGGACCAAGCTGAAAGAGGTTCTCTGTATTTTGAAACCTCAAAAACTTTATTAATGTGTAATATTTCAGATGTTGCCTTTCCAAAATAAAGGTGTACAACAGGCAGCTTACTTTTTTTTAAGCACCCTAGAATTAATATCAGCATAATAGCTTAACACTCAGAATAGGCCAAAGTAAGACATTTAAAAACCTTAAGTAGCAGAGAACATCCTTCATCTGCCTCACCAAAGGCTATGTGAAAGACTAATGCTTTTAAGTGCCACCTGAAACTCATCAGAGAGGAATATATTTTGAAAGAGAGTTTTGTAATTTGAATTTGGTATGTAAACTAATGCAAACCATGATCTGCATAATTTATTCCAAGTACCAAAAGTGCATTTCTGACTGGAGTGGAGATTACTGCCAGCCTTGATGAAAGTTCATATATTATTGGCATACTACAAAAATATGTATTCAGAAATCATCCAAATTAAGAAAATGCATTATTTATCAATGCTGGTTCATTCTTAATTTCCAGTAATCACTTCTTAACCCTCTTACTTTATGAAGTCTTATTTGAATGAAGCCAAGCAGCACTGTGACTCATTGTTCTAACAGGTAGACAGAGCCTCACAAATCTTTCACAGCAGGCTATTGAATGGTCCATTGTTAATGATGAAGTGCTGGACAATTTATAGGATGCAACAGAGGCAGGTAGATATTTTTTCCTTGTAGCAACACTGCCACAGGTTAGGCATGGCTGTGTGCTTGTACCTCTTGTGCCACTTGTACTCTAGTCATTAACTGGCCTGTTTCATTGCTTGGAGCTCCTCAGAAACCCAATGAACTTCTCAGACTTCCTGAGGATTCAAGTCAATGGCCCTCTCCATCTTACTATTCCACGGTAAAACTAGAGCTTCAACAGAAGCATCTGTCATACTGCCTGGAAAGTCCCCCCAAGTGCTCAGAAATCCTTCAACTTAACTGTTCTCCCTCCCCTGCAGGGTGTGCAAGTCACACCCAAACCAAACCAAACCAAACCAAGAAGTGATCTGTGCATGCCAACGGATCACACACCCACACACCCCGGAACCAACATATCCTTCCCAATCCCCTGTGTGACAAAAACCAGATCTAGGGTACGACCTGCATTATGCGTTGGATGTATGGTGTACTGAGAAAGCCCCCCCCCCCCCCAACCATGAAGTCCTGCGCTGGACAGGCAAAGCAGGATTGCATGGATATTGAAGACGTTCAGCACTTCTGTCCTACGATTATCTACTGCCACACCAGAGACCTGCTCCACTAGCTCAGTCATAGATGTGGTTGGGCTGCAGGGGGGCCAGTGTACCAACAATATCCTTTTTCGGTCTCTGCCATCCAGAGCCAAGTACAAAGCCCGCAAGTCCAGCTCCCTGATGAATTCACTATCCTGGCTGGAGACTTTGCTCACATATACATGTTTCCTCGGTAGAAATCCTCAAGATTTCTAAAAACATAACCAGTGCTAAGCATCTTCAGTATTTCTTTTTTTTAATGAAGTGGGCATAACAAATGGAATTACCTCATTTGTAGACTCATCCAAGCCCTCATCCAGGCTGGCATCTTCTGCTGCCGGCTGGTAATTAAAAAGAGAGAAGAGAAATGTTATGAAGACACTGTAAATCTGAGAAACCATTAAAGTGCACATCAAATATGTAAATTGTTCTTTTTTAAACAAAATAACCCCCAAGGCTATCATAACACTATTGCATATAACAGGATTTATTTCATTCAGTGGCTAAAAACAACACAGAATCGGTGAGTGATCATAGCAATATTATTTTATCTGTCATGTTTTTATCTTGCCCTTCTTCAAAACGGTATCCTTGTGAGGTAGATTAGGATAAAAGCCAATAACTGGTTCATGGTTCATAAGAAGACCCTGCTGAATAAGACTGAATCAAAGGCCTGTCAGTGCCTAACATGGTGATGACAGAATAAATGATGCAAGGAAGGAACTGCAGCCCAAGATAAAAAAGAGGTAGTAAGGGAGCACTTGGCTACTTTAAATGAATTCAGATCTCCAAGGCCTGATGAGCTGCACTCAAGGGTACTAAAGGAGCTTGCAGATGTAATCTCAGCGCATCTTTCTATAATCTTTGAGAATTCTTGGAGAACAGGTGAGGTCCCTGTGGACTGGAGGCAGGCAAATGTTGTTTCCATCTTCAAAATGGGGGGGGGGGGCGGGATCCAGATAACTACTGACTGGTCAGCTGGATGTCTATTCCAAGAAAGGTCCTAGAACAGATAATTAAGCAGTGGGTCTGTAAGCACTTAGAAAAACATGCTGTGATTACTAATACCCAGCATGGGTTTCTAAAAAGTAAGTCATGCCATACAAATCTCATTTCTTTTTTTGATAGAGTTACTAGCCTGGTGGATCAGGGGAATGCTCTGGACATATCGTATCTTGATTTCAGTAAGGCTTTTGACAAAGTGCCCCATGGTATTCTTGTGAAGAAGCTGGTAAAATGTGGACTAGACAAGATAACTGTTAGGTGGATTTGTAACTGGTTGACTGACTGAACACAAAGAGTAGTCACTAATGGTTCCTAATCAACCTGAGGAAAAGTGATAAGTGGGGTGCCACAGGGTTCTGTCCTGGGCCTATTGTTGTTCAACTTCTTTATAAACAACTTGGATGGAGATATTGAGGGGATGCTCATCGAATCTGCATATGACACCAAACTGGGAGGGGTAGCCAATGCCAGAGAAGACAGAATCAGGATTCAAGATGACCTTGCGGATTGAAGAACTAACAAAATGAATTTCAATAGGGACAAATATCAGGTTCAACAGTTAAGCAGGAAATGTTGTCGTTGTTTAGTCATTTAGTCGTGTCCGACTCTTCGTGACCCCGTGGACCAGAACATGCCAGGCACTCCTGTCTTCCACTGCCTCCCGCAGTTTGGTCAAACTCATGCTGGTAGCTTCGAGAACACTATCCAACCATCTTGTCCTCTGTTGTCCCCTTCTCCTTGTGCTCCTTGTGATCTTTCCCAACATCAGGGTCTTTTCCAGGGAGTCTTCTCTTCTCATGAGGTGGCCAAAGTATTGGAGCCTCAGCTTCAGGATCTGTCCTTCCAAGTGAGCACTCAGGGCTGATTTCCTTCAGAATGGATAGGCTGGATCTTCTTGCAGTCCATGGGACTCTCAAGAGTCTCCTCCAGCACCATAATTCAAAAGCATCAATTCTTCGGTGATCAGCCTTCTTTATGATCCAGCTCTCACTTCCATACATCACTACTGGGAAAACAATAGCTTTAACTATACGGACCTTTGTCGGCAAGGTGAGGTCTCTACTTTTTAAGATGCTGTCTAAGTTTGTCATTGCTTTTCTCCCAAGAAGCAGGCGTCTTTTAATTTCGCGGCTGCTGTCACCGTCTGCAGTGATCATGGAGCCCAAGAAAGTAAAATCTCTCACTGCCTCCATTTCTTCCCCTTCTATTTGCCAGGAGGTGATGGGACCAGTGGCCATGATCTTCGGTTTTTTGATGTTGAGTTTCAGACCATATTTTGCGCTCTCCTCTTTCACCCTCAATAAAAGGTTCTTTAATTCCTCCTCACTTTCTGCCATCAAGGTTGTGTCATCTGCATATCTGAGGTTGTTGATATTTCTTCCGACAATCTTAATTCCGGCTAGGGATTCATCCAGCCCAGCCTTTCGCATGATGAATTCTGCATATAAGTTAAATAAGCAGGGAGACAATATACAGCCTTGTCGTACTCCTTTCCCAATTTTGAACCAATCAGTTGTTCCATATCCAGTTCTAACTGCAGCTTCTTGTCCCACATAGAGATTTCTCAGGAGACAGATGAGGTGATCAGGCACTCCCATTTCTTTAAGAACTTGCCATAGTTTGCTGTGGTCGACACAGTCAAAGGCTTTTGCATAGTCAATGAAGCAGAAGTAGATGTCTTTCTGAAACTCTCTAGCTTTCTCCATAATCCAGCGCATGTTTGCAATTTGGTCTCTGGTTCCTCTGCCTCTTCTAAATCCAGCTTGCACTTCTGGGAGTTCTCGGTCCACATACAGCTTGAGCCTTCCTTGTAGAATTTTAAGCATAACCTTGCTAGCGTGTGAAATGAGTGCAATTGTGCGGTAGTTGGAACATTCTTTGGCACTGCCCTTCTTTGGGATTGGGATGTAGACTGATCTTTTCCAATCCTCTGGCCACTGCTGAGTTTTCCAAACTTGCTGGCATATTGAGTGTAGCACCTTAACAGCATCATCTTTTAAAATTTTAAGTAGTTCAGCTGGAATACCATCACTTCCACTGGCCTTGTTATTTGCCGTGCTTTCTAAGGCCCATTTGACTTCACTGTCCAGGATGTCTGGCTCAAGGTCAGCCACCACACTACCTGGGGTGTACAATCCATCCATATCTTTCTGGTATAATTCCTCTGTGTATTCTTGCCACCTCTTTAGGCAGGAAATACCAGCTGCCAAATATAAGATGGGAAACACCTGGCTTGCCAGCAGTGCATGTGAAAAGTATCTAGAGGTCTTAGTATCAACAGTGTGATTCAGCACCAAAAGAAAGGCTTTGTAATGGTAAGAGCTGTTCGACAGACCTTAGGACATTGTGGACTCTCCTTCCTTAGCCGTTTTAAAGCAGAGGTTGGATAGTAATCTGTCATGTATGATCTAGTTGAGATTCCTGCATTGTGGGAGGTTGGACTAGATTCCCTCAGGGTCCCTTCCAACTCTAATTCTATGATTCTATGAAAGTGCCATCAAGGGATGACCTGGTAACTGTGATCTATGTTCTGGGTTCTCTAGACTGAATTATTGCAATGCACAGTTTGTGGGGCTTCCCCTGAATATGACTGAAGTCACAACTAGTGCAAAATGCAGCTGCCAGACTGCAGACTGGCACAGCTAGAAGGACTTATATTACACTAGTTCTGCTAGAACTGCACTGGTAGCCTATTTGTTTTCAGGGACAGGTTAAGGTACTGACATACTGTATAAACAGCTTGGGTCGCAAAATACCTGAAAGATCACCTCATTCTTTATAAACCAGCCTGGAAATAAACATTGGCAAAGGAGACCTCATTGGAAATACCAGTGCCCTCAGAGGTCTATGGGATGGCACCATGTAAGACAGGGTTGCCATATTTCAAAAAGTAAAAACCAGGACACCCCTAAAAATGCGATTTTTCGATTGACTTGCCTAAGATCCAGGACAAAGTGCTACCTTTTGAAAATTCCCCCTAGACATAAAATCCACCTTTGAAATTCCAGTAATGTCCGGGAAGATCCAGACATATGGTAGCCCTATGTCTTCTCAGTGGCCCCCAGACCCAAGAAGCTTTGGGCATAGTTTTTTATCCAGACTTTTAAAAATGTCTGATTACTGTTCATCCTTATTTAATAGTTTTACTGTTGTTTTCGTGATTCATTATTTGTGTATTTGGTGTATTTTACTGTTGTACTGTTTTAATATACAGTAGGATCATTTGTGAAGGTTGGGTAATGAATGTATGGAATAATTAACGAATTAACTAACGTTAGTGGAGTGTACACTTTTTGTAGGGGTCAGGATACGTGCACAATCTTTGCCTCCTGGATATGGTATGATATTACATCTACACCTGTTTCTTTTGTAAGCACAGTATAAGGTACTGAATAAAAGTTTGTTTTTTATGTGCATGAGACTGTAATTTATGCATTTATTTAAGAAAATATTCCAATCAAGTCAAAGGAAGATAAGAGATAAAAATAAAAATAAAGAGAAAGCAGCATGAGTGAAAAGATACAAAGGGTATTTCCAAATGGGTATTTATTGTGGGGTGGGCATTCTGTGTGCATGCACGTTTTTTGCAGCATCCATCCACAAAACACTGTTGTCAAAATGCCAGCCCATGTTATCACCCACATGTAATTCAGACCTACCCTTTCCAGTGAAAATCCGATAAATAAATAAATAAATAAATAAACCAAACTGTTTACCAATGATCAATTTGTGATATCTCAACAACCTGTTTACAGTGCTAAACACCTGTATGGAAACATCCAAAGGTCTTAAAACATGTTTATGTGAAGTCTCATCCCTTTTGGTGGGAATCGCTTCCTAAGTAAGCATGCTTATGTCTGAATAATTACTGGGGGGGGTATGCAAAAGTATGGGTGAATAATCGAGAACAGACTTGTTCAATTAACATTACAAGATTATGAATAATCTTGTTGACTTGAAATCAAGACAGACTGTATTTTGTAAAGCTGGAAAACAACAAAACCTTTCTCTGAGGGAGAACATAAAACACAACCAGTTTTGAGCATAGCTCGTACCATTTGGGCTAGGGTTTTAAAAGGACAAACCTCCCAAATGCTACATCTGTTGCTTAGGTATAGCTCATTAGAAGGTATTATATCATATGAATAATGGTAGAAGCTGAATTCTGATGTTAAAATTAATACCCCATTCATGTCTCATTCTTGCCTGTAAAACAGGACTGCAGATTTCCTTGATCATGCAGTACACACAACAATACTATACCCCCAAAGTTCTATATTTGTGGACATTCTTGACCCAACAATCGAATCCAATATCTCACTAGGGATATAGGACTAGGGACGCTACATTTGATTAACGAATTAGATTAACAGATTAAACCTTTTTGAGTGGCTTTAAACCTAGTATTTTACTGTTAGTACTGAAAAAAAATGTAAACAGCCAATGCCATCATCTTAGAAGAGTATTATCCCTTTTCTTTCACGTGACAGGATGTCTCTTCTAACGTGGTATCTGTCTGCTATGATGCATACATGCATCATCATGCAGTGCCAGCAGGTGTCATGTACCATTTTAGAAGAGGTGTAACTACCTTAATGTTTTTGAGTCAGAGATGGTGATTTTAAATAAATAAGATGAAGCAGAATGAAAGATGGCACCCACCAACATTGTGTGGTGGTGCTCACTGTCCCAGCCAAAGAACCTTGAAGTCCACAGACACCCATAAACCAGTTCCTTTGAAACCCTATAAAATAAAAGCTAAATGGCACTGCTTTGTGTATCTGATATTCACAAGATACTGAAGGCTTGTTAACATTATTTTAAAAATTGTTTTTTTTCCTGCCCAATTATTGTTTGCTTTATTTTCATACATGTTTTAATGCTGTGGTGACAAGGCTACTTCAACCATTCAATGTATGAATGACTGAAGCAGGAAAAAAATCTGAAATACTCAGGCTGCCGTCCTGTATTCTCTACAGTGTTACCATCACATTCCACTGAACTGCTGTAGAGTAGGAATATTGTAGTCTTGAGATCACTTGCTCAGTCAGAATCTCACTAGAGTTGTGCTGTGCACAATTGCTTTATACATCAAACAGTGACATCTACAAGCTTAAGGTTAGTTGGTAAAGTCCTCTGTGGCTGCTACCAAAATAAGAGGGATGAGAAATTTATATTCATCCACCTCTCTTCCAGAACATTTTAGCTAGTATATCTGCCTGCAGAACCATAGTAAAGATGCTGTAGCATAGCCAACTTGTTACCCATGATAACAAGCACCTATTGTAAGTTCAGGTATCAGACGCAGCCCCATTATTATTAATTTGTTGCACTGTTAGGTATTAACACTCACCCCATTTAAAAAGCATTCTGTGATAAGGAATTTTCAGGTCATCAAAGTAGCTTTGTGTGATGCTGATAGCTCAGAGAAACAGGTAATTTCATATAAACTACTGAATAGTCATGAGGACATGCAACTGAATGTATTGCATTTTGACAGAGATGCACCAATGAAGTGCAGTTTCCCAAACAAGTGGCATAAAAAGAGAACCAATCACTAGTTTCTTCCTTTGGGTGACAGAAGGCAACACACACACACACACACACACACACACTTGTTGAAGAAGGAAATTAAACTATCAAGTCTGGATATTTCCTGTTCACTGTTATTTACTCTTAAGGAAGAGGGTTGATCACAACTCTTTGTAATTCTGAGGGCACATATGCATGGCAACTGTCCATGCACCTGTTAGTGGTGCTACGCAACAAAAGGAAAAGATGCAAACTGTCCCCGACTCCCAGTACAAGCAACTTTACACCAAACAGTTGCCCCAAGGGCCAGAAACCTTGCTATCCTATGAGTTGTTCAATCCTAACTAAGGCAAGGGCCATCTCTTTGTGGTCGCAGGGAAAGGCAAGCCCATACACAAAAAGGCAACTTAGAGGAACAAGATGCAGCTGTCTCTGGTGCTGGATGAACACAAGGCACCAACTTTGGGCACACGTAGGGCTGGTCCCGCCTTCTCCGAGGACTAATGCAGAAATCCTGCCAAGCTGAAGCTGCCTGCCTGCACTGCAGAGGCCAGAAGCTCGCAAACAGCGCGTGCCAGTTCCTTAAAGCTGAGCCGCTTCTCGCATGTGCCTGTGAACAACTAGTCACAAGGCTCCCTTCCTTCCTCCCCTTCCCATTCTCCCAGTGTATCAACAAGTGGCTCTGCATACGTCACGCAGAGAGGGGGGGGAAGAGACACATCTTTAAAGTCCAACTGACCAGACAGGTGTTCACTCTTTCCCTTTGGGCTCAAAGAAGTCTCCCCCCCCCCCACTACACACACAAATAAGTTGCCTCAAAGAGAGAAACCAGCTTCCTACGGGTCCCTGGCCCCATTTTGCTCCTGCATGCAAGGCGCTCGGTTGCCTTAGGCTGCTCACCTCCGTTTCCATAGGCTCCACTTCCACTTCTATCTTTTTCCATAGCTCCAGTAAATGGGCAATTGGCATCTCTGAGGACTTTTCTCTTGTCTGCAAGGGAGAGAGCGCGCTGGAGGAGCTTTGACGAGGGGGAAGCAGAAGCAAAGGCGGGAAGGAAGATGGCCCGCTCCCGAAGAAGAGAGGAGTCCCGAGGGAAGGCGCCTCTCCACTTGAGGGCGCCTGGCGACGGGGCGGGAGCGGGAGCGGGAGCGCGGGCTCTCTAAGCAATGGCTTCTGGAACAGCCACTAAGCTGCCCGGGGAGAGTCTGTGAGGAGCTGCCGCTGCTTCTGCTTCACAGCGCTCGTCTGAAAGAGAAGCGGGCGGCGGGGGGGGGGGGGCGGTAATTACAGCCCTGCGCTGCAAATTGACTTTGTTGGCAGGAGAACAGCTTCCTTAGCAGCATTTCAACTCCACTACGTTTTACCTCAGTCTCTCTCTCCTCCCTCAACCCACCGTTACGTGTGTGTTTTCCCTCCCAATTCGTTCTCACACAAAAAAGCGGGTGAAAGTTGAGCCTGAGGAGACGGCCGCGCGAGGCGGAGGCTGCTATAGCAACTGCTGCATCCGCAGCACCGGGCTGCAGGGAGGCGTCGCGCGGGGCCTCTGCTTCCCGCCCCGAGGAAGGCGGAAGAGCCAAGCCGGGAGCCCCTGCCCTGCCTGCCGCAGGGCTGACTGGAGAAGGAAGAAGGGGGCGAGAGGGGCGGACGGGGGAAGAGAGGGAAGGGGAGCTCGCTTCAAATGTGTCAGGACGCAGGAGGCAGACAAAAGCCTCCGTGCGTTTGCAGGAGAGCTAGATAAAAAGGAGTGGGGAGGGAGAAGCAGCCCAAACACGAAACAGTCTGTCGACTCCAGACTAAACAGTGATTCCCTGAGCTTCTGTCCTTTTGCAGAGGTGGGAGAGAGCCGTGTGGTGTGTTATATTTCCCTGTTCTGGCAATACCCACAGGCAAGCCCTGCATCCTTGGAGACTGAGATCAGCAAACAGCTACATCGGATGGTCTGCTTATTTCTCATCTCCCCCATCTTATTTGCCATATTCTGTATATTGATGATAATGGTGATGATGATGATAACAATAATTTTATTATTTGTACCCCACCCATCTGCCTGGGATGCCTCACCACTCTGGGAGTCTATGCACTCCCCTCAAGGCCATTCCTATATATATATATATATATATATATATATATATGTATCCATATATCTATACCTCAAGTTTCCCTTCAATTACCGTATACTCACGCTAGTGATGCTACAGTGCCAACAGTATCCAGTCCCCATGCATCAGTGGGAACCATCACTGCATGGAGAGAAATGGACTTTGTGCTCCACTTTAATAAGAAATGGAGTGAAAAATGCAGTCCAGCACTAGAGAGAAGGAGCACGCAAACCTTCAGTAATGGAACAGAAATGTGACCTGCCGCCAGGTGCAGATGATTTAAAGGACAGGGCAGCATGCCCACCCAAACTGTCTGAGTCAGCAATATTACAGGGGGATGTATTCTACACTATTTGTAGTATAGACCAAAATATAGTATATATCAACATTTATGCAAGATTGCATGAAGTTGCCGTAAATACCAATTCCAGTGTCACTAGAGTTCAATCAAAGGGTCTGCCAAAAGTTATCAGCTGCGTCTTTGTAGATCATTGTTGCTAAAAGAACCTGAACAACGCGTTTTTAAATGATCGAACCTTGTTGGCCTATCTCTTTGCAATAGAATTAACGCAGATGTCTGCTGTGCAGTTGTGAACATCTCCCATGCTTTTTAATGAAGCTGAAAAAGGTTTCTAACATCTAAATAACTTATAAGGTAAAATGGGGGGTGGGGCGGGGAGAGAACCACCAAGTTTGCTGAGCTCATGACAAAATGCTTAGTGCTTCATAAACACTTGGTATGCACTGCAGCAGTACCTCCAATCAAGTTGTTAAAAGATGAGGACAAAACAACTGCAAGGCAATTACCAATTCTTCACTTATTCTTCAGTAATAACAGTTCTAGGACAAATTAGCAATCGTTTCCCAAGGGCACTGAGACACCAATTGTTTTATTTAGCAAATATTTTGTTGCTTCTCTATGCCTAATGAAAAATGTCTCACTTTCTTCCACTTAAATCCTGCCTTTCTTCCATCATGGGACCCTAGAGCCTACCTGTGATTCCTTGATGGTCTCCCATCCAGGCACTTGCCAGATACAGACCTGATTAACTTCAGCTAGGTGGTGACTTCACGTGCCTTTCAGATCTTACACTGGGATCAGTTTTATACAGATAAAATATAGAAGTTAATCTATTCTTGGTAGCTGGCTCAGAGTACAGCAGAAATTGTTTCTGGATATTGAAAGGGCAGTTTCAGATATCTGTTTAGCCACAAAGTACGGTATACTTGGATGCCAGAATTTGTGCAGACATGTAAAACATGGACGTGACCAGGATTTATGTTGGGGGGTCAGGACACCCACTTGTCCTGTTCTAGAACCGAGCTACCTGTGACGCGATTGGTCAGTTTGCGGAAGCCACACCTACCACTGTCAGGTTGCCAGTTGTTTCACTAGAATGCACCACAAAATCATCCAAGTGACTTCAGCGAGCATTTCAATTTCAAATATTCTGATTATTTCTACTCTTAGTTCAGTAGCTTTACTTATTTACTTGATTTAGGGGAAACAGCTGCCCCCCTGGCCTCTCTCGCTATGCCCATGTTGGTGTTACAAAATCAGGATTCTGCTTGCCCTGAGAGCTAGAACTTTAAAAGTTCTCATGACTTCAGAAGCAGCTTACTGTATTTTAAGCACAAATGATTGATGCCTTCTCCGTTCTGTTCTTTTCTGCGTTTCCCCTTGAGACAGCAATGTACAGGTTAGCCAGGGCTTTGCTTATGTCATGATTATATTACTTACTGGCTGCTGACAATTGCAGAGGATGGAGGGAAGGATTAAGTGCATCCCTGCTTTGCTGTGTCACTGTGACTCTTAAGTTAGTGAATAGCTAATTAAATATGCATTTCCCTATTGACCCTTCTATCCAAGGAACCGTAACATAATGTGCCTACTTTCTGAGGGAAGCATTTGCAGCCTAAATAACAACAACAACAACAACAACAAATACTATAAGTTCCTCATTTTACAGATAAATTATTTTCAAGAGTTTCCCTAACACATTGTTTGATATTTGCTCAATTATCATCTTGTATTCTGTTTTCCATTTATTTTTGTTGGTTGTTTGGGCATCCACCTGCTGAGCCTTCTGCTATGGTGAGTATCTGATGGCTTTCCAACAACATGATGCTTATCAATTGCTAAATATGCATATAGTACTTTCAGTGCTTGGTAATCCACTTTGTAACAGGTCTGTGAGATTAAGCCCCACTCATAAGGCCCATTACTGAAATTATTGCTGATAACTTAGCATAAGATCAAGCTCAAATTAAGTTGAGATACGCCTCTTTTGGACTTCTACAATGGTAAACTCAATGAATGCAAATAAATAAATAAATAAATAAATAAATAAATAAATAAGGCTGTGGTGGCAATCCTGCAGGTGTGTGTTGTGTGCAACCCCTAGCCCCCCAACCTTGCTGCCACTGCCCCCCATCCCATTCTTGTCACAATGAGCACAATGTTGCCACTGGCAGGAGGACACCACTTCCTCTGTCCTTTTCATAAGGCACTGCTATTTGAAAGTTACTGTATATGCAAAATTGCACTTGGCTTTCCATGCTTCAGCATTTTGTGTGTTTACATTATCTATGCTGCTGTGTTCCACCCATCCTCAAAGGGCATGGCATAGCCAGGGCAGTTGGAAAACATGAAGTAGTTGTGGTCCCTTCTCTCTAAAAACAAAGAGCAGAAAAACATCCCACCCTACCCTGGAATGCTACTAAATCTATATTACTCTGTGTTACTGCAGAGCAGTTTGTTTTTTAAAAACAAAAAAGTTGTTACGCATTTGCCACAATGTTGGGGGTCTTGTAAGCATTTTCAAGGGGTTTTGGATGTATCAAATAGGCTCTTTAACTGCCCATTAGCCACCTCTGATTTATGTATTATTGTGTAATGAAAAATTAAAAAGGCTGGCTAAAAGTGTTTTAGTGCTAATTTAAGGATCTGCCAAAATGAAAAACAGCAAACAAACATGGTGCTAAAATGTTACCAACTGGAAAAGCAGTGTGTTTTGGTAAATCAGTTTTTAAAAAGCATTTACTGTACAAACACAATAAAAAAGCTAAAAATAGTTTTAAAAACAATGCAAAATGGTGGTGATTTTTTTCACCCAGCTGGAAACAAAAGTGTCTTCAGTTGTTTTCAGAAAGTTCAGATAGTGGGCATCTGTTTATATTGACAGGAATGCTCTTCCATAGAACAGAGTGAGCCACATTGAAAGCCCTGCTCCAAGTTATTGTGGCGTGGGCTTCTGAAATTTGTGGGACTTGAAGGAGATATGCTCTTCTGCAGAATATAGTGACCTATGGCATGTGTGTTTTGCCACTGAGCTGCAGAAGGGTTTATACTACCAGTTGGTTCTTTTGCCCCAGAGTTTGCTTTTCTGCAGTCTGAAAAAACATGGGAACCACACTGAAAGCACAAGGGAATGGTGATCTGGTGACAATGTCATGTAGATGCCCCATAAAAAGTGAGTGAGCAAAGCACAGCTATTCCAGAATATGTGGCAGCATAACTGGAACAGATTTGATATGTTTCACTCCAACAAAATTCTAGAATGGATTGTGGCATCTAAAATGTAGCACAGCTGTGGAGTAACCAGGGCTGTACTGTGTCCACCTCTAATGTAGCTCCAGAAAATGTCTCGCAGAAAGCCACACATTCTGTACCTGCTCTGGAAAGCTTCCCCACCATCACCTGGAAGCTGCAATTCTACCCCAACCTGGAGATGAGTTATGCACCATCATTAGGGTTAACCAAAGAACATAATTTGATTTCATAACCTAGTTGCAATTGCTATTTGACACCTATTTTGATGCTTTGAGAAAGCATTATGCTTAGTTTGCTTACTTGCTTGTAACAATGGGTACTGTAATTTCCTCTTCCAAACACAGTAAGTGCCCTTTTGTATGTTAATTGCATTTGCAGAGCATCCACCAGAAGTGGCCCTGCAGATTGTTGCAGATATCGCCTGCTGTGTTATGTACCGCCCCATTGATTTCCCATAACATGTTTAATATGGATTGCTGTGTGACTATATGGCCTTTCTGCTTAATTAAGTATTCATAAATAATGGTTTCCTCCATGACTTTTCATTGTTAGCAGCATCCAATATATGTCATCAGTAGCATATTTGTTATCTATGTGCTGATACTTCATGTGTTTCTGTAAACTTGTATCTGTAACATATTCAGTTGTGCATGTGGACTAGGGAGGGACATTTTAAAGGTCTTTGGTAAATAAAATGAAAAGTCCCGATGTCCCTCTTGAAAATTGTTCTATTCGGTAAAATGCCTGGTTTTTTGCTCCAGTCTTGGAAAGTCATAGCTAAACCTTTGCGTCATTCTAAATGAATGGACTCCAGAATAAATTCCCCCTAGAATTGATTTCCCCCAGAATAAATCTCATAGAATTGCCAACACTTAAGCTCTAAGGCAGGTCCAAGTATGGGGTTTGCCAGGCTCAGAGTTGGTTCCAAGGGCAGAACTCACTGCAAAAGACATCTGTTCATACTTGACATGTCCTTATTAGTCCCCTATCATCAAGCAATACTAACTGTCTGCATGTATCACATCATCACAGATCATACCATTGTCCAGACTCTAGGCTATTTATTAAATGTATAGGTTGCTGATTTGTATAGTTCTCTATTTATTGAAATAAATTCAAAAAGCAAAGCCATCACAAAAAATCCATGAAATAAACAACCAAATGGGAATTAAAGCCTTCATTTCCACAGCTTAGAATTTCAACTGAAGTTCAGCCAAATGCCCTCTGAAATAAAACAGCCTTCATCAGTCTCCTAAATGCCAGCAAGGAAGAGGCACAGCCAAATAATAAAATCAGCCCCAGTGATAGACAAAAGCAGAGAGC